TCAGATCTTAAGGAAAATTCATTCTCTCTGCGAAAAGTTTTGGAGCACAAAATGAAGTAAATGGATGTGAATTCAAATTTGCAAATTACTAAAATTGGAAAGTATAAATTATGTCCATCTTGATTTTATAAGTGTTGTCGTTTTGTATATATATATCTCAAATTAAAGTTTAAAGAAAATCGATTTCTCCAAAAATTTTTGCAGTCTCTTATGATCTTAAAATCCAAAGATTATCCCGTTTGGGAAGATGATACTTTTATCTCAGCAAACGTTCTCAACTTTCGCGCAGCGAATTTGACTGTGATGATCGACGGATTCAAAGTTTCCACTACGTTTATTCATCTGTTTCGTTGAGCTACAAGGATGCTGCATCGACTTTCGTATGAATTCTCTGCTGAAAATTCCATTTTCGTCACTGGACTATAAAAATCCTCGGTACTAGAATTCCAGAGGGCGAAGGGAGATAAAGAGAAGTTCTGTTTCAATATTTTATAATCACTGCCAATTCTTGTGCAGGACTATTTGAAACTTTGCTCTTCGCAACTTGGCCTTTCACCAGAGTTCAGAAAAAGGTTCATCGACTTCCCTGAGAGGGGATCCCTGGGAGAGAGGAGAGAGAGAGAGAGAGAGAGAGAGAGAGAGAGAGAGAGAGAGAGAGAGAGCTTTAAAGAGATTTATAAAGCTCTTCCTGAATTAACATGGCCATGCCTTTGCTTCGAGGCCGGTAAACTTTCCTAAGCTCTGAAGGATTTAAGGATATAGTTTGGCTGTGTCGTATTATGCGGGCGTCCGGGTCCTCTGATATAACTTGTCGCGTATGTTTCATTGTAACAAATTTATCGACTTGAGGTAGACGACGAATCCCAGAGGAGGGAACTCCGATCGGAAGACCAACGGCAATATCTCGCGCCAAGTAAATAGATCCTCCGATCACACCTCCGCTCCGGTACAATATTATTATGCTTGCTTAGCTCATGGTTTCTTCCTTTCCTTCCTTTTCCCTCGACTTTTTTCGACCTCCCGTGGCTTCCGTCCATTTCCAATCGTACACAATTTGTGAAATGACTAACACCTGCACGTCTGTCCTGCACGTGTTCGCAAGACCTTCTTCGGATGAACGTGCGTAACAAACAAATAATAAAGGTGCGCGAGCAGAGCTCGCACGTGCGCACAACCTAACCTAAAAATCATGCACGTCATGGGGCGAGGACAGGGGAAGGGGCGTAAAGGGCTAGGAGGAGGTGGTGGCAGAAGGAAAAACAGGGAGTTCACGATTGGTGAATGAGCGAGACGGCACCGCGCGGGCGGACATCTATCGTTGATATTGACATTATTATCGTACACCGAAAAGCGGGACATGTGTCGGCTCGTATGCAACCGTGGATTCTCTGTAGAGAATGCGTTTTATCGACCGGAAGTCGGGCGGAGCATAAGGTGGTGGTGTATCGAGAATTTTTCCGCGCGTAGAAGAGAAAGAGATAAAAAGAAAGTCATATTTTAGTCCTGAGGCAGTCCTCTGACAATATAATACGAATGCAATGATATTTTAGGTCTCCTCTTTGGTGCAGCTGAATACTCGTTTCACTTAAACAAAATACAAAATTTTATTTAAAATAAGATTATATTACTATTCGAACTATTGAAGTTTGGTGAAAGCTAAGATCTGTTCTTTTTAGCACAGTATTTTTTTTCTCTCCAACGTAAAAAGAAAAAGAGGAAAGATAAACCGTCCAAGAAGTTAAGATACAAAAAAGAACAGCTCTCTAGAAAGAAAGCTTTAGTGTCGTGCCGTCCAGTACAGCGACAAAAAGAACAGGTTTATTATATTAACGCAGATTTAATACAACTGGCAGAGTTCCGGCTCTCTTTCAGGAGCTCCAGCAGAGTATCTAAAAACTAAGGCCCATATTCAGAACACACTTTTATCTCTAAAATTCTACAGTATGCGTAACGTAAATTATAGCATGTTACCGCGCTAACATCGTAAGCGTGTTCTGAATATAGGCCTAAGAGTTTCCAAACGAATTCTGACGATTAAGTGCATAATATCCATCAAAGGATCCATCTACGCATTTTCGCTATATTATCGCTATATTTGTTACAATCTCTTTTATTTTAATCGTCCAAATCTGGAAGAAATAGAAGAGATCAGTTTTATCTTCTTGTAATTTTGTTATTTTCAATATTATCTACGTTATATTAACAGGCTACAATCGGAATTAAGAGTCCAAGAAAGTACAATCTAAAGTTGAATAACTTTCGGCTAGTTCCATCGCGGCTCGAAAATTCTTAGTATTTCAATATTTTCGTCCAAAAACGAGAAAAACCTATAACTGTATTATGTAAGAGCTCCTCCCTCCCTGTTTTTTCTTGAGATCATCTACCGATGTGAACCTGGCGCCCAACTTTATCAAGAATAAAAATTAATACCATAGGGCGTTTCTACTTCGTTTGTACCCGTTTGTATCTCCCTTATTTTCGTTTGTACCCCAAACAGTTAAACAAAAAATGAAATATAAAAAATGGCCAGCGCCCAACTTTAATATTTTTAAATTTCATTTATGTCATTCGAAAGTGAATCGTTTGTACCAGTTTGTACCTTCCTTACTTTCGTTTGTATCTCAAAGGGTTCGGAGATACAGCGCTTTTCAAATTTGCGCAACCTCTATTTAGTGAAATTCGCCAATTTTAAAGATATCGAAATGCGATCAACGGCATTCGAAAGAGAATCGTTTGTACCCGTTTGTACCTCCCTTACTTTCGTTTGTACCTCAAAGGGTTCGGAGATACAGCGATTTCAAAATTTCGGAAATACGCCAAGAGGGGAAGCAGGCCATTTTTAAAGATATCGAAATGGGACCAACGGCATTCGAAAGAGAATCGTTTGTACCTGTTTGTACCTTCCTTATTTTCGTTTGTACCTCAAAGGGTTCGGAGATACAGCGGTTTTCAAATTTGCGGAACCCCTATATAGCGAAATTCGCCAATTTTATAGATATCGAAATGGGACCAACAGCATTCGAAAGAGAATCGTTTGTACTCGTTTGTACCTCCCTTACTTTCGTTTGTACCTCAAAGGGTTCGGAGATATATAGGGGTTGCGTAAAAATTGAAAAACGCTGTATCTCCGAACCCTTTGAGGTACAAACGAAAGTAAGGGAGGTACAAACGAGTACAAACGATTCTCTTTCGAATGCTGTTGGTCCCATTTCGATATCTATAAATTGGCGAATTTCGCTATATAGGGGTTGCGCAAAAAGTGAAAAGCGCTGTATCTCCGAACTCTTGGAGGTACAAACGAAAGTAAGGGAGGTACAAACAGGTACAAACGATTCTCTTTCGAATGCCGTTGGTCCCATTTCGATATCTTTAAAATTGTCGGATTTCGCTATATAAGGGTTGCGCAAAAATTGAAAAGCGCTGTATCTCCGAACTCTTTGAGGTACAAACGAAAGTAAGGGAGGTACAAACGATTCTCTTTCGAATGGCATAAATGAAATTAAAAAATATTAAACTTGGGCGCTGGCCATTTTTTATATTTCGTTTTTTGTTTAACTGTTTGGGATACAAACGAAAATAAGGGAGGTACAAACGGGTACAAACGAAGTACAAACGCCCTATGGTATTAATTTTTATTTTTGATAAAGTTGGGTGCCAGGTTCACATCGGTAGATCATCTCACGAGCGTTGGTGTTACTTTCATAAAGTCAGTGGAGAGAGGAGAGGAGAGGAGAATGGAGGGAGAGGAGTGGAGGGAGAGGAGTGGAGTGGAGTGGAGTGGAGTAGAGTGGAATGGAGTGGAGTGTTGCGCGCTCTGATGTCAATCGCGTGTGTTTGATTTGCAACGTCGCGATTTAATGCATTCAGCGGTAATAAACGAAGAATGCTTTATCCGGTCAGACTCGCATTTAACCGTCAACGTCGTCGGCGCGGCGACTGCTACCATGGCCGGCAACTTACATATGGAGTGTGTGGAGAGCTCCACACTCGGATTAATCCACACTTGAAATTTGACGAATTTTTTCCAAAATGATTTAGTATAGCGTTTCACTGGCCGAACTGGTGCGCACTCGATCAGTGAGCAACAAGATGCAGGAATTCGTCACGAGCACCAATAATAGGCGATGTCGGTTTCGGAACTAACGCCCTCTCTTTTGATGTCCATGTGGCTCGTGACCAAATTCCTCCTCCTCTAACGCCGCTGTTAGCTGCTGTTATTGACCTGAGATCGGGGTTCTTTCAAGCCCCCCCAACGTGCTATCCCTCTTTGTCAGCAATGGATAAGTTTGTAGTAAGAGAGAGAAAGAAAGATCCAGCTGTTTCTATGGCTATAGCAAATTCGGAGCCAAGCCGTTTAGACAGTGTAACAGTCGGTAGTTCGAATTCGGAGTCGAGGTTAGAAATCAAAGCAACAAGTTGCAGCGACTCTCAACAAAAACTAGACAAAGAAAATTTTGCATCTAAAGATACATTAAACAAAGGTATATTCGTTTTGAGTAAAATGCAATTTATTGTATAAATATAAAAAAAAATTTTTTTAATTTAAATAGCTATGTATATTGTTTATTAGGTAAAAAGAAACCATTATCTTTTGCAAGATGGCAAGAGCTACATAAATGGCTAGATATTAATTCAGCTGGCAAAGTAATCTGTAAAGTATGCTCAGAAGCAGTGAGCAAAAATATATCATCATGTTTAGATAGCCGTGCTGTACGCTCAGTTGAATCATTTGTCACTAATGCTTGTTGGAAGAATGCGCCACATCGCTTTAAGAAGCATGAAACAAGCGAGTTTCACAAAAAGTCATTCTTAGGATTGCAAAACATTAGACTTATAAATCTATTGTTGGGCATATTTCTCATGCAAAAACTAAAGAAATGGCTGATTCTCGGGTTGCATTGCTAAAGATATTTAACACTGTGAGTGTTTTAGCACAACAAAATATAGCCCTCCGAGGAAGCAATAATGACGAATATTCAAATCTTCTCAAAATTTTGAAAATGAGAGCTGAGGAAATCCCAGAATTGAAGTGGTGGTTAAATAAGCCAGCAGATTATAAGTGGCTGCATCACGATTACGTGAATGAAATGTTGAAGATGATGGCACATGAAGTTATAAACATACATATAAGAAAAATAAAATCCGCGGAATATTATTCTATCATCGTGGATGAAACAATGGATGTATCGAGATTAGAACAAATTTCAATTAGCTCCCGAATAACATTGCCGGATTTTACTGTAAAAGAAATATTCATGGGTTTTTATGAAACCAGTAATACAAAGTCGGAAACTCTTCTTAATATAATAAAAGATATCCTATTACGTTATGAGCTAGATATTACTAAATTAAGAGGGCAATGTTTTAACGGCGCCGCAAACATGAGCGGAAAATATTCTGGCGTGCAAACGCTACTTCGCAAGTTGGAATCCAGAGTCCTATTTGTTCATTGTACGGCACATATATTAAATCTGGTTGCTCAAGATGCCATGAAGAACGTAGAAATGATTAATAACTTTATTGGAGTAGCCAAAGATGTGATAAGCTTTATTCGCGATTTTCCAAAACGAATCGCAATATTTAAAGATTTACAGGCAACATGCGATGAAAATCTACCGGCTCTATCGTCGTTTTGTCCAACAAGGTAATACTCAAATAAATTACATTCATAATATTTAATAAAACGAGTAAAAACAACTAAATTACACACAAAATAATAATCTAAAGTTTTGGTTGTTGATTTAAAAATCTTAGCATTTTTGAATTGTAAATATCTTTACATTTTAATTAATCACATTCAACAAATCTTATTTCTTTCAAATTCTTTGTCAATAATATTGCTAGATTTTAGAAATTTATTAAATATTTAATTATCAATTAATTAACAAAATAATTATTATTTTAATATCATAATTTTCAAATTTAATGCTTTTTAAGTAATTATTACTTTAATATTAAAAATAATAATATTATTGATTATTGTTATATTTTATAGATGGTGCATGAGGGGTATGTGAAGTTAGCACCCCAACTATAGTACTCAGGAGTTCTGAATAGAGTTCCCGTTTCTTTTTGTTTTTGAAAAATAAAAAAAAAATTAAAAATTTTTGAAAAATCAATTTTTAGATACAATAGTTCTGAATAGAGTTCCTATTTCCTCTCAACGATACGAAGAGTTCTCTGTACTTTTTAACTCCAGATTCCCTTAATAACAATTTTTAAACAATTTTTAAAAAATGGGGTGCTAACTTCTAATCGAAAATCGAGATCCAATAGTTCTGAGCGGCCCAATAGCTTCATTTCGTGAATACCTAGAGTTCCTGATACATAAAAAAAATTTTTGAAAAATAAAAAAAAAGTTAAAAATTAATTTTTAGATACAATAATTCTGTCACATGTTAATAGTCATTCTGTCTATTTCGAAGAGTTCTAGGCGATTAAAATCAATACAGACCCAAAAATAAAAGAGATATGTACTTAAAACAAAATTTGAAAAATTGGTTGCAAAAGCACATATCTCCTTATGTAGCGATCCAATCGAATTTTCACCTAATACTTTTCGTCAGGGCTCGTCGAGAACTGCCCAGAACGCCGATCAGAACTACTGAGTACTCTCAAAAAATTTTCGACGTCGGACTTAGAAAATTTTCAATGACAGAGTCCAAATGTTAAAATATCTCGAAAACCGTTGGCCCAAACGCTTTGCCACCTAATACTTTTCGTTACAGCTCGTCGAGAACTGCCCAGTACGCCGATCACAACTCCTGAGTACTCTCAAAAAATTTTCGATGACCTTTCCCAAGTAGCATATCTCGAAAACCATTCACCCAATCGCTTAGTCACCTGATACTTTTCGTCAGAGCTCGTCGAGAACTACCCAGTACACTGATCAGAACTCCTGAGTACTTTGAAAAAATTTTCGACGTCGGACTTAGAAAATTTTTTGAGAGTACTCAGGAGTTCTGATCGGTGTACTGGGTAGTTCTCGACGAGCTCTGACGAAAAGTATCAGGGGACTAAGCGATTGGGTGAATGGTTTTCGAGATATGCTACTTGGGAAAGGTCATCGAAAATTTTTTGAGAGTACTCAGGAGTTCTGATCGGCGTACTGGGCAGTTCTCGACGAGCTCTAACGAAAAGTATTAGGTGACAAAGCGATTGGGCCAACGGTTTTCGAGATATTTTAACATTTGGACTCTATCATTGAAAATTTTCTAAGTCCGACGTCGAAAATTTTTTCAAAGTACTCAGGAGTTCTGATCGGCGTACTGGGCAGTTCTCGACGAGCTCTAACGAAAAGTATTAGGTGACAAAGCGATTGGGCCAACGGTTTTCGAGATATTTTAACATTTGGACTCTATCATTGAAAATTTTCTAAGTCCGACGTCGAAAATTTTTTCAAAGTACTCAGGAGTTCTGATCGGCGTACTGGGCAGTTCTCGACGAGCCCTGACGAAAAGTATTAGGTGAAAATTCGATTGGATGGCTACATAAGGAGATATGTGCTTTTGCAACCAATTTTTCAAATTTTGTTTTAAGTACATATCTCTTTTATTTTTGGGTCTGTATTGATTTTAATCGCCTAGAACTCTTCGAAATAGACAGAATGACTATTAACATGTGGCAGAATTATTGTATCTAAAAATTAATTTTTCAAAAATTTTTAACTTTTTTTTTATTTTTCAAAAATTTTTTTTATGTATCAGGAACTCTAGGTATTCACGAAATGAAGCTATTGGGCCGCTCAGAACTATTGGATCTCGATTTTCGATGAGAAGTTAACACCCCATTTTTTAAAAATTGTTTAAAAATACTTATTAAGCGAAACTCTTGTTATAAATTATATAGAACTCTTTGTCTCGTCAAAAAGAAACGGGAACTCTTTTCAGAACTTCTGAGTACTATAGTTGGGGTGCTAACTTCACATACCCGTGCATGAGAGTTAAATCTTTAAAAACAATCGCTGCTAACTATGAACAAATTTTGTTCTTTCTTGATGAAATTTCTACAAACAAAACAGACGCTGGCAGTAAAGCTAATGGATTTTCACAATATTTGCAAAGTTTCGAATTTTATTTCTGTTTATTAATTTCTATCCAAGCATTAGAGAAAATTGAAATTTTAAATGCGCAACTACAAAAAAGTGATTTAAATTTGTGCGAATTACATGAAAAAGTGAAAGCTATACTAGAGTGTATTGTGGAAATAAGATAATCTGGTTTCGATTCCCTGCGGAAAAAAGCGACAAATGGCGCAAAAGAACTAAATTTAGAAGAACCTAAATTACCTCGCACTCGTAGAGCTCCGAAACATCTCGAGACCGCAGATGTCCATGTATTTAAATCTGTTGAAGAATACTACCGGAAGAGTTTTAATGAAGTATCTGATCAACTAATCTTTTCATTAAACGAAAGATTTAGCCCCGAAACAACGGCATTTTTAAATATATGCGAGAATTTCATCACAGGTGAAAAAAGTGTGTGTGTCAGAGTGATCCGACTCCTATTATAAATTTTTATAAAAATGACTTGGAGGAAGATAAACTGAAGCTTCATCGCGACATGTTTCTTGATATTGTCAAACAAAGAGAAGTCAAAATAATTACTTTAAAAGATGTGGCATTTAAAAAAAAAAATTTGCCATTAAGCGAAGTGATAAGTGAGTATTAAAAATTAATTACAATTTTGCTCACAATCCCGGCAACGTCATGCACTGCTGAGCGAGCTCTATAAAGCTGGCAGGCCCAAATGAGTAGAATCAAATCGGACCTATTGGAATTTTTAGTACTTTTTTGTACTAATTTGTACCATAAAAAAAAATTTTGTACTCTGTGCCGTTTTGGAAAAAAACGTGGCGCTGCCAGGTTAATATTAAGCTGGCAGGACCAATTAAAAAAAAAAAAGAAAAATAAATAAATAAATAAAGAAATAAATAGTATCGAATTTGTACTAATTTGTACCACCAAAAGAAATTCTATATTATGCGTCATTTCCCAGAAAACAGTGGCGCTGCTAGTTTAATATTTAAGCTAGCAGGACGATAAAAAAGCAACAACACAAGGGCAAAAATGAACAAAACTGAATTTATACTAATTTGTACCACTGAAAATAAGTTAATATTTTACACAAAACCTATGTGAATCTGCGGCACTCGACTTCAAGAAAAAAATATTTTTAATGAGCATTAAATTAAGTCAAGCATTTTTGTAAGTCAAATGTCGGATTTCACATAGGTGATCTAATGATGGCTGGAAGATTAAAAATAATACTTAATTATATAATATAAAAATAATTATGGCTGGAAGATTAAAAATAATTATACAGTTTACATATCCGATACAAATTATATTATAAATGTTATAAAATAAAATAATTACAAGAATACATATAAAGTACGAAAAAAAAACATAAACATTCATTGTTTTTTATAATATATTAATAACGCTGGAGTTACTTCTGCATTTTCTTTAATAATTTTTTCTTTTTTCTCCAAATCATATTCCACCCATGTACCTGCTTTCCAACAAATAGCTATGTAATGCCCCATTGATTGTACGCTTCTTGTCACTATAGGATTTTTATACCCAACAATGCCGAGTAATTTATATATATTTTTATTGAATGGATTTTTGCAGGATTTTTTAATTAACGAATTGGTGTTCGGCATGTCTTTAATCTCAATTAAAGACATGCCGAACATCGAGCCGAATTTCGATCCGCGGCAAACTGAGTCTGTCTCGCTTCTGCGTTGGTCTGTCTCGGACTGTCGGTACGTGTTTAATATCGAACCGCGTGCTCGAGATTAAAGACATGCCGAACACTGAGCCGAATTTTGATCCGCGACAAACTGAGTCTGTTTCGCTTCTGCGTCGGTCCGTCTCAGACTGTCGGTACGTGTTTAATATCGAACCGCGAGCTCGAGATTAAAGACATGCCGAACACCAATCCGTATCTCGAACAGCGGAAAAACGAATGTAAGATTAAATAATAGGTAGTTTACTTTAGGGACAGAGGTTTAGTCTTTCTTGAGTTCAGTCTTTAAAAGTTCGTCAGAGAAAACGGTGATAGTAAAAATTTTCATTATGAGTCCAGTTCGCGGTAGACCGAGAAAAGTCGATATTGAAAGAATGAAAAATGCAATATTAAAATATAAAGATATTGTAAAAGATAATAATAAGATTATCTCAAAAACTCATGATATTTGGAATATTATAGCACAGGAAAAGGAATTAGAAAATAAAGTGACAAGTAATCATTTATATGTGTTTACAATATTAAAATAATTTTATAAATAATACATGCATTCCTTTATTTTGCAGGAGATCTTATTATTTTTGAATTATTTACAACGACAATTATGTTAAGTCTCGAACCACATTAAATGATATTAAAAAATCCTGCCAAAATCCATACAATAAAAATACATATAAATTACTCGGGATTGTTGCATATAAAAATCCTATAGTGACAAGAAGCATACAGTTAATGGGGCATTACACAGCCATTTGTTGGAGAATAAGTACATGGGTCGAATATAACAATCTGGACAAAAAAGAAAAAAATATTAAGGAAAATGCAGAAATAACTCCAGCATTATTAATATATTCTAAAGAATAATGAATGCTTATGTTTTTATTTTCATACTTTAT